CAGTCTTATGTCTGTTTGGGATTTTTAATTAGAGGAAATACTGGATCCCAAACTGGTGGTGCGGAGAAACCATCTTCCCTGTTGAAATTAGGATGTTTTTTAAATTTCAATGGCCTCTTGCAGCATTCTTTCTATTTTTTTTTAAATTAGCCTGCAATAGTCTACCACTGCTCGGCAAAGCCTGCACGCACTTCTAACTCTCTCTATCCATCTTTACTCATTACTTTTACGGCATTTTGCTTTGGGGTAATTCCGCCGATATCAATAGAATCTTTGTCCTGCAGAAACGTGCGGTTAGGGCAATTTACAATCTGGGCCCAGAGTATCTTTGAATGATAAGTTTAAGGAAATTAACATTCTTACATTAGCGTCACAGTACATTTATGAAAATGTAATTTATGTTAAGAGGAATAGTAATTTCTTTAAAAATGGTGACAGACATAACATAACATTAAAAACGAGGAATAAAAATAAACTAGCTGTTCTTGAGAGTCGTCTTCACAAACTGACAAATTCATTTTAGGGGCAACGTATACGCTTAATAACAAGATTCCGGTTGATATACAAAATTTGCCATTCACGAAGTTTAAAACTATAGTGAAACAAAAACTTTATACTAAAGGTTATTATACAACTTTTGCGTACTTAAATGACAAAAAATCCGTGGTAGTAACCCATTTAGCTCGTGGAGGTAGTCTCGATCTCAGATGTTTGAAAACAAAAAAAATATACTGTAAATGTTGAATGTATACAAATGTTATTTACAAAGAGCAACCCCTAAAGTTTCTCGCTCATTCTTCTCAGGGGAATCTGCCTTAAGAGTGAGCTGTAGAGTTTAACTTAAGGAGTTTAAGTGTAATAATGCTACCTATGAAATAAAGATTATTTTAATTTTTGATTTTGACTTACTTTCGTTATAAGCTAGTGTGCAATGTGCTGTATTTTTTTTGTCTAGAGGAGAAATAAGTGTCAATTTTGTTATTGCGTCGTTCCGTTATCAGCAGCTTAGTTTGGCCAATATGCACTTTAATAGCTGTACAACTTTTGCGCTTATCTCAGTATGTAATGAATGTGTTTTTAGATGTGGTGTGTTGAATGTGTTTAAAAGGAGGTTATAAGTTCGGCGCTTATTACAGTAAGTTTGTAAACTTGCATTAGTTGGCACCGAATCGAAAAATAAATAATTAGATATTGTATACATATATTTAAGTAGCAATATTTTTTTAGTGGTAAGATAAAACTTCAAACCGATCAGTAGGTAGCACATACCAATAATAATGTTTTATTACAATAATAGACAATAAATAGGTGTGTACAAGATTTTCCTCGTTGTAATTATTTAAATAAATCATAAATGTAGATAGATTGATTATTAAGTTATTATAATACTGTGTACAAAACGAAATAAGACAAAAATAAATTTAAATTATTACGTGCGTTGTATTGTCGTTTGGATTAAATCTGTATTTTATTATTTTTTACTTTTTACTGTAGTGACTTTTTCTGGTTTTAGAAGCTGGTTGAATTTTTTTTTAAAGTTTATTAATTTATTTATTTAATAAAATTCACTTACATTTACAGTTACACCAAACATGCTAGTCACAATTCAATCAATTTCTATTAGCATATAAAGCTTAATTAATGTTATTATTTGACAATTACTGTTTACTTAACTTGTATAATGTATCATTTATTGACATACTTATTTAATTAATTAATTATCTTTCATTAATTATGACGTAGAATAAATTATTTAAAAAAAATACTAACTATTGCATTTTCATTAAATTAATAAATTAATTATATTCCAAGTCTACATCCATTGCGATCAATATACAATAGACGTAGACCTAGCAATGCTTTCAAATTAAGCGCCCGCTGTGGATAGAAATTTATTTTCTGAGTCGACGAAAATATTAGAACCGCGATCCATGTACAATAGTTCATGTAGTCAAGAGCACTAAAAAGAGGATTCGTTGGATCTTGCCCTCTAGGCGTATTAAATAGAGACCTGCAGTGGTCTGAGGTGGTGTTTTTGGACCTTGGGGGTAAGGAAAGGGATTTGTTTGGATTGGGTTATGCGCACACCCATGCAATAATCTGAAAATCTATTTCACCAGGAAAATGTTCCTTCTTACTTCGAGGGTATGATATTCAATCATCCCCAACATAAAGGGCGTGGGGAACATGTAGGTGTAGTATCCATAAGTTTGTTTGTACAAATATCTGACTGAAAGTTCTTTAGCACCTTTTTTATCATCTCTGGTATGTTTATAAACGCTTTGCTTTGATAGAAGTGACAATTAGTGTTTGTATGTAAGGCAGTCTCCTTGTGGAACTGGTCTGTGGAGTGCAGTAGTGCGTCGTGCGCCGGTGTCAGCAGTGGTCATCGGCCTCGTTGGTGAGTTTCGCAAGTCCAGTTACCCGTATGACTCGTTCACATTAATATTCTACACTTGCTGTTATTGCGAACCTAGCATGAGTGCTCTGTGTGTATCAATGATTGCTATTTATTACTATTTGGTCGATATGATTCTTATAAATTTTAAAAAAGCACCCTTTTTTTTTTTTTTTTTTTTGCTTGTTACGCGACAATTCGATGCGATAATTTGTGTACCGATTTTGATGATTCGTTTTTATTGGAAAAAGGGTATTGGTCCCATTTAAATTATAAGGAAATATTCCACCTGTAAGGGTGGGGGATGAATCCGGTTTCGCGCACTTTCCGGTAACCGATTTCAATAAATCTTGGCAAATAAATAGTAAGTAACTTTGGAGGTCGGTTTTTTTTTACAAAAAGTTTTATCACTGTCTATATTTTTTTACTTATCGCGTAATAAAAATACATTACAATTACGCGATAAGTATAATTATATCGAGTTCTTAGGTTTTCGCGATTATAACACATTGGAAGTGGTACTTTAGTAGTGGTTTTAGTAGCAGTAGAGCGTAGAGCTCCTTGTGAGAGAGTACGTCCAGTGGCACTGTAGTTGTTATAGACATGCGTGTAGCTTACAGTCAGGCGTACGATTTGTTCGTCCCGTCATATTATAAAAAAAAACTATTTTTCTTGGATCTAAGTCAAACAATGTATTATAATTTTTCAAACTATAATGGACACGGCAGTCAGTACCTGTATAGGGCTCGGCACGTTGGTTTATTTAAAAAAAAATATATATATGTATATACTTACGCGACTTATATCCGAAAAAATTTTTTATATTCCCAAGTATAAAATTATACTTTCTTTAGTTATTACTAAATAACTAAAAATAAACAGCCAGTATATATACATGCAATTTTATTTCATAAATAAATACTTCAGAATATATCTACGATATTAATTCTAATTGTTACGTTACTAGATAAATCACAAAATATAAAGTTGAAAACAAATGTTGTACACAATATAATCGGTTATTTTTTCTTAACTTTTTATTTTTATTTTGAGACGAATCTTCCTCGCCTAGACGCCGTCTTAAACCGCCAACTTAGCTAAGTTCATTTCACATTCCAACGACCTTTACACCTTTCCTCAAGCCTTTTCACATCCTGGTGGAACCTCTTTCTCTGTTCATTACTAACGGGTCTAAGATTCAAAGGGGAAAAGAGAGAAATAGGAATAGGCAAGGTGAATTTTTAACGATGTTCGACATCCATTTTTTGGGCTCTGTGATTGCTCCGGTTAAGCCTTTTATGACAGCCTTCATGTGACGTCTGTCGTCCATGTTAATGATGATATTGTCTCGAACTAGGGAATTCCCTGTGCTATGAGTACCAGAGCAACGGAATTCACTTTGGGACACTAACATAAAACACTCTGACCATAAACAATTTAGAAAAAAATATTTTCTTCAAATTAGACCTACTCATTCAGTACCTACAGTCCAAGAAGAGACAAGAAGCCGTGGTAGCCTAATGGTTTGACCTACTGCCTTTCAAGCACAGGGTCGTGGGTTCGAATCCGGGCTTGCACTTCTGAGTTTCTCGGAATTTGTGTGCGAAATTTAATTTGAAATTAACCATGAGCTTTTCGGTGAAGGAAAACATCATGATGAAACCTGCACGTTGAAGAAGGTTCACAATTCTCGGAAAACGTGTGAAGTTCCCAACCCGCATGGGCCAGCGTGGCGGACTATGGCCTTAACCCTCGTCTGAAAGGAGACTCGTACCCAGCAGTGGGACGTATAAATGGGTTGATGATGACCCACAGTGCAAGCCGTTGGGCCACCGAGATCGTCTTATAATAGTTGTAGTAATCGCTGGGTTCACGCCGTCACAGTATCGGTTATTGCAAATGGTATGAATGTTTCTATTCTGCTAAGGCAAGAAAGTAGCATAGCCTGATACGCAAAACATTTACGGAATCCAGAACTTAACTTGATGCACAATACTTCCTAAATATAGGAAACACGTATTGTACTTGTTCGTATACTTTCATTCTTTCCGACTTGATTACGTAAACGCACATTAACCACATTTCGTCAATTACGATTAAGTGAAGATAGTTGAAAAAGATAACTCAGGTAGGTTACCTCAAAAGTATAAAATATGTACTACTACATACATACTGTAAGTAATAACAATCTATTACAGCTATCTGTTTTGCGGGTACTGATTTCGAGTCACACGGTGTCTTTAGCGATTAAATTACACGCATCCCGCATGTTGATCACTACGTGTGTACGTAGTAGTAGATGTAATATTACAGTAATATTTAATATTACAGTAATATTCAATATTACTGTGCTTCAATGTAGAATAGTTGAGAAAAAAGTAAAGTTTAAAAAGCTCCAGGCGAAAGACAAAGACATTCCGTAGTGTCGAGACGAGAGGGAATCTTTGGAGGAGGGCGTTGCACAAACGGCTTTCATCATGTGTAAATGCGTAAGCAAAAAATGGATAGGCGGCCAATAAAAACCCTGTGTGGGGAGAAGCCGAGAGGCGGGCGAAGCGGGTGCACTGCGCTCGGTAATTGCAAGTTACAGTCTGAGTCGGCCGCGCTGGGTGCGCGCACGCAGCCTCCTCATCCCTTCGCGGTTATCGGTGAACGGCTTCCAAAAAACTATGCGTTTGTCGCTTGCATATTGACTCGGCTCCTTGTGCTTACTTTGTTCACGATCAGAGTTCCGTTAACGGGAGGTTCAGTCATAAGAACTTTGAACTGCATTACCAACAGGCTTGTCTAGTTGTAAATTAGAACGGCTGTGTAGAGATAAAACAGAAATATGACGTGAGTTATATTGTGATACTTTCCAGTGAATATATATGTTAGTTTGTATTTATTAGTTTATTTTGTTGCAGAGCGAACAACGTCGCGCCACTCTCAAACGAAGGGGAAACGGGTCCCCCGGGCCCCCCAGTTGAGGAAGCCATGAAAGGAGTGGAAGCTACGCCTGAGGAACAAGAAAGGCTTGCGACAGGCAATAACAATGGTTCTCTCGACTGCAAGCTGCCCACGCCACAGCAGGCCGAGCCTCGCTCGGCATTTCACTCGACACGAGTGTTCATGCTTGTGTTTCTATCAGGATGGGTCGTGCAAGGGATGTTTCTTACGTATTTCGTGAGTGTGACGACAACCGTTGAAAAGTTATTCAAAGTCGAGTCGAAGACCACAGGGACGCTGCTAGCAGCGACGGAGATTGGGCAGATATGCACAGCTCTGTTCCTGACGTACTTGGCAGGACGTGGTCACCGGCCGCGCTGGATAGCCTGCATGATGATTGTGCTGGCGATTGGTGTTGTGGGCAGTGTCATGCCGCACGTATTTTATGGAACGCAGCTGCTCGAGGTGCACCAGGACACGCATAGTGGCGGCGTCGGACCCGTCTGCAACTCCAATATAACATCTTGCAACCCGTCCCAAATGCAAGGAACGGCCACTCGTTCTTCCATCACGGCAGTCGTCATTCCTTGGTTATTTGTCTGCCTGCTCATCGTCGGCGTGGGACAGACGGGGATCGCTACTCTAGGAATTCCATACGTTGATGACAACGTTGGCAGCAAACAGTCGCCTCTTTACATGGGTGAGTTGATCTAATTTTAAGGAACAGCAAAATGTATCTCCGTATACAATTTGCACGCATGCATTGATTGGGTACTGCTCGATTGTTAGCGGGTGTTGGCGAGGTGCAGGAACGTATAAATCACAGCCGCCCACTGCGCTGCACCGCCTACGATCAGCCGCCCTCCCATCGGTACTGTAATTACGAGCCAACTTGCAATTCTGTCAAGCGATTCATGCTAAAGCATATTTATTTTATAATAATATAACCATACCAAAAAACAATACACAACAAAACGATTCCGACGACTTGTCATCTTAGGGAATAAATTGCATTGATTCGTTTAGTCTAGACTATTTTACCTGTTGCTTCGTCTTACGTCGTTGACCAAAAAAGATACACGACAAAGGATTACAAAAACAAAATAAAGGCAGGATCCGTGTTTTGGATGCGAGATACAGTACCCATGTATCGTAGAGGGGCAAAAAACCGCGATAAATATATAATAAAAGCGGATATTGATTTGGGTGCGAGAGGACGGAGGACATCAGCGTGAGCGGCAGCAAGGTAACTTTGAAGTCGCTTGTTATATCTGCTCTGTGACGTATCTCTACCTCTGCTACCGCCAAGCGATAATGATGTTGTAGGGAGGGGTCTCAGTAACTATAACTACTCGATTCGTCGAAACTTGAATGAACATTTTCGCAGTGGTTTCTGTTTTGTATACTGTTTCCATCTGATTTCTTGTGTAAATGTGTAAAAGCACGTTGTATGCAAATCTGAGTCTGTTTTGATATTAGGTACTATATTGTCCGCTAGTAATGGAGCCTCGCATTTGTTTACTAAACAACAGCGGCCTTGTACCGATTTTGCGTTATGGACTCTGGAAATAGGCCGGTTATTTTCATGTCTACTATATAAATTGTAGAGCGATTAATATGTGCATTGCTTATCGAATGGACCGCTGCGAACATATGATTTGCATATTTTACTTGTGTACTTACTGGAGTCCTATTATTTAGTGTTAATTTAGTGTATTAATTGCTGAATAGTTTAACAACGTAATAGTGTAGTACTTCTTGCAATGCTACAAAACAACTAATTATGTAAAACCTTTCCACCCCTCTTAAGTTTTCCAAGAAAGTCTTTAATGTAATAACTAAAGCAATAATATTAAATTAAATCAGAAACTAGTGCAATCGCGCTATCATTAATTAATGCCTTAAACTCAATTAACCGATCTGTGCTAATGATTTGACCTAAATCGAGGATTACATGCGACAGCGGACTTTCCGCCTTCGGTTTATGAATGTAACCACTCAGGTAATTGGCATTGCCTGGTATCCTTCTGATTCATAGTTTTCTGTCTTCCGATTGATCTGCAAAACAGTTGCAGTGCCACTCAGAGCTTTAAATCGCGAAGAACTGAGGGGCACTGCGACTGCGCCCGTCACCCTGAGATATATCACAAGTCCCATGTTACAGGCACATGGGACTTGTGATATTTCGCCAGCACACTTTTAAAACCGGAACACAGTAATGCCGACATTACTGCTCGGTGGCAGAAATACGTAAGCTCTATTCCTACTAAGAACCCAATTTCAATCATAATTTTTCGTAATGTTTTAACCTTTGCTATTTCCTCAGTCTCTGTCCATTACCCGGTAACCTGATACCCAGCAAAAATTTAATCTTGTAAATGCCAAAGCTTTTATTACTGTCTTAAAATGTCACCGTAAATATAGATAGTACCGACCGACATGGTGCATTTAACGAAGTATGTCAGATGCCTTACAGTAAGCACGTAGATACTCGTATGCACTGCTATTTCGGAACGTCCGCAGTTGCAAGTGTGTCACTGGGCCGGGACGTCTCGTGACAATTTCAGCTCATTGTAGATATTAGGACAGTTGTCCAGTTGTTCCTTAGCCCTAATTTTTGTCTTGCGCGTATCTCATATTGCGTTAAACGTAGGATGTAATGATTATATTATTTGCTGGCTGTTAAAGATAATTTTCAGATAATTTTTTTCTACTGAATTTCGGTGACAATTTGTATTATTTAAGTATGCGAGTGTATCATCGTGATATATTAAATAATACTTCAGGATATCACACTCGAATATTAAATAATACTTCGTGATAATATTCTAGAATATTGAAATTAAAAAGAATGACACCGAAATTAGGTAGAGAAAAACAACATGAAAATACGCCACAACCGCACAAATGACAGTACAGTTTGTCGTCATATTTTGTTTTTTGCTTTTTGGCTCTTTTTTTATTTTGTTTATTAATTATTTTTGTTTTATTTTGTTTGTACAAGTGTTTTCAATATTTCGTGTCGTGGCGTTGCAACCAATGTCTATTGTATTCTAAAATTAACTACTCACAAAATCCTTTTTCTAATGTTTGTGACTGCTTCTGTTCACTTTTTCATACTGTTGCATAGTAATATTTATTGGTGATAATGTTTTAGGTTCTCTAATAAATTTAGCTATTGTTCTGAATTCCTTAATCGCACTATAACATTACTAAACAAAGTGGAGATTTTACGAGGTTTAGCACATGCCATGCTCTAAATTATTTACTGGTACATCAAGTTTCTTATTTGTAAATGGAAGTCAATCATGTTATATGTAAGACGATATTCCGGACCCTATTTTTCAGCTCTCTTTTTCAGTTGCGTACACTATGAAAAAATTAGGTTTCTATCGAATTCTAGATAATAGATAATGGAAATAAACGTTTACTTATTTATGTTATTACAAACCTGCCGTGACTATGAGAAAAAATATATACGCGAATTGATCCGAAAAAGTAGTTTTTTTCCTATGACGTTTCTGCTCGATCCATTCGCAGATTCAATGGTCATGCTATGTGAATCTAGGAGTTGTTATTTATATTACCTTACATAGCTCATCGTTTTGCAACTAAAATTTTTACTGACTACATAGAAACTACTACATCTTGCCAATAAGGTTGCACAGTATTTTTTATCCAAAGTTTCCTTATGATGAATCAGTGTCATATTCAAGTGGTTCTTCTGGTAGAGATTCTTATTTACTTAATATTTTCCTTTATAAAACTACTCTTACGTACTTTAATTTGGGGCACCAGCTCTTGTGGTAGAGTAAAATAAAGGACTAAGGAAATTGATCAATTTTAACAATAGTATATTTTAATTTGAATTCAAAACCCAGCAATTATAATTTTGTTTTACGTCATGCGAGTCCGTTGACCTTCAAACAAGTGGCAACAAAAAGCACATGCGCTTGGTTGGCCATCAACTCACAACGGCTTAGCAGCTACATCGTTGCGCAGGCGCGCGTGATCTACCGAAACGGGCACACCACTGCTCTACACCGCGCATGCGCCCCACATCGCATGTGCACTTATGCAACTTTTTTGCATCGGCTCTGATTACGCTTCAATCATTTGCGGTTGTTGGCGTAGGTCAGTTTCCTTATATCATTAGCTCGCAAAATAATAATCTAATCTTTTCGTAAGCTGTAATATAAACAAGTATTTATCTTAAAACACGTTATCGTACATTCAGTTATTATGTCGTAGATTTATAGAGGACAATACGTGAATAATATTTACTATACATATCTGATGGGCCTTGTATAAATGTCTTTATCTTTATTTTGACGAAACAAAAAAGATATAGAATACATGATTATTGTAAATGTCAATGTTGAGGTATATTGTTCTTATTATAATTACGGAGTGTTTTAAAATTTCACTGTTTCAAAAACAACACCCACACGTTGCTTACTATGTTTGCTCAGGTGCGTTATTCGAAGAATCACCTATTCATTTGCCATAGAAACGAATTAGTCATACTTCTAAAAACTATATTACGGGGAACATTGACCAGTCCAACCGATTATGCCTTGTATATCTCGACGATCGGCATTACGTGTAATGATATTGTGGAAGGAAGCTATTTTCTGAATATAACCAGTCTATTTGATGACTTTTAATCATTGATTAGCAATCTGGATCGTTGGAATTTCCTGTTGTCTACTTCTTGGAAGATCTCGATGGGGCGGGCAAATAATATCAATAACCGAAGGACGTTATCATAACATTTTGTCGGTTTATGTAATAATAAGACAGTTATTTGCATTAACCTGCTTATTATGTAAATCTTACATTCGTGACACACTGCAAAATTGGGCTCTTTAAATGTTTAGATTATATCGAAGAATCCGAGATAAAATCCAATCCGAAACATTTAATTTCATTTGAAAGTGATCATATCGTTTTGATATAGAATAGAATACCTTTATTTGCCAGAATACAGTAACGATAAAGGTCTTAAATAAATTTAGGTACATTTTATTGAACCTGCAAGCAGATGAACACATATTAATTTCATGTTCGGTTTCTATTGTTAATTTCACTTTTGGAAATTGTAAGTATTTTTTATTACTATAGAAGCAATGTATCAAATTTTAAGCCATTTTGTCAATTATCCTTGCAAAAATTTAATTTAATTTGGCAAATTGTTGAAAATAATTGAATACACATGTTGAAGCAGTTTTTCTCATAAATTACTTTATGGCGACGAGGTTGGTACAAAAAATTCATAATTTTTGCTCTAGTCTGCCTTTGATTAATTTCACCGCGTGTTTTGAAATATTGAGGATGTTTCGTTTTTTGAACAACGGTTTACAGCTGTTGTCGAACCACGCACCGCAGATCGCCCGAACACACTTCTTCTGAACCTGAAACGCACTTTTTACGATTACTGAATTGCCCCACAGTATAAGACCGTAGCTGAGCACAGACGAAACGTAGCCGTGATAGGCCTTCAACGCTGCTTCTCGAGAGACAGTTTGCCAGTCTTCGTAGAGCTTAAACAAATCTATTTAGCTTCATACAAGTCTGCTCGATATGTTCTTTCCAGCTTAGGTGCCTGTTAATTGTTAGTCCAACGGTGTCAGCATTGTATTGAATTGTAATTGGTATAGGATTTGAATTGTACGATCGAAATGTCATAATTTTAGTTTT